TTTATTTATTAACTAGTTGACCCGGCAGACTTCGTAGTGCATCAATCGATAAATAAAAGATCTAAGCTTTTGTAAAAATCAACTTAAAACAAACAAAAGGAATCCGTCCGACGGGGGACACATCAAAGGAAAAACAAAATTGTTATTTTTATTTAATTCCTAGCATTTTCATAACTATGTACCTTTTAAACTTTCTCTGGACTTTTACAAATAATTCAAGACCAAAATTAGCCAAATCGGGCCAGCTGTTCTCGAGTTTTAGCGCGACTAACGAACAGCAGTACATTTTTATATTTATAGAAGACTAGTAAAATTAATTCACTCCGTTGAGGCTTTTATTAACTGATATGTTATTGTTTGCGAAAAGTACTTGTTTATAGTTGAAATATTTGTACGAATTATGACATCTTCAATTTCGCTCTACAAGCTTAATACAAAATATTATACTCTAAGATATAACGTACGTAAATTTAAAACAATGTTTTTGGGACGAAGTTCCTTATGGGACGATGCGCAGGGGTACCCTAATCGGGAAAAAGCGTCCGTAACGTAAGATTTTTATTACTAATGCACACAGTGTACGACTTAACTTTGTAATAACGTACAAAAAATAACATATTTTTTATAAATCATTGTGAATAAAATAAAGTTGATAACTTTGTAGTTTTTTATTTTTTTATCAATAAAAAAATCATAATAAAAAAATTATTTATACCCGAATAATTATTTTCTTTATACCTCGAATAATTATCTCTTATAATTAATATTTTTATAATAAGGAACTTCGTTCTCCTATCCGGTGTCCCACGACACCACACATCTTTTTTCGTGTGCGATCGTTGTATTAAATTCTCCAAGAAACATAAAAGGAACAGCTAATCCTTAAAAAATCAACCGCGATTTTTCCTCACAAACTTTACGTTGTTTTATTCGCTTTTCGACACTTCCGGCCCTTCGCTCCGTGGATTGAATGGTGCCGTCAGATAGGATCTAAATTACTGTGTAGCAATTCTTTAAAGACTAAAAGGGTGTCTGGGCCCCGAAGGGCGCACTTCAGCCGGGTAAAGGCACGAAACGTGGCTGCGTGGAAAACTTCAAAGTGCAACTTCAGAAGTGAAAAATTTGCGATGGACGAATATTCGAAGCCAGCGAAAAAACGAGTACTAAATATTTGAGGACCTAACTGAGAAGCAACCGTTTTTTTAAACCTATTTTCGATGGAAATAAAATAAAAATTTAATACTTAATAATTAAGCTGACAGTTTAAGGAATACTTGACGAATATAACGCGAAGACATTATATATTTAATTTTAAATTATATTAATTTTTAAATTTTAATTATTTATGTCAAATTCCGTGTATTTATGTACAAGTTTCCTAAAACAAAACAACTGATTTTTATTAACTTCTGAAAGTTAATAATTCGTTTAAATTGTATCCCACTAAAGATTCTATAGAGTACGGCATAACTGAATATAATTGCACTGAGTAGTCGCAGTTCAGAGTTCAAGAGCCATGTGAACTTCAAGACTACAACTTAAAGACACAAACTTTTAAGTACAGAAGTCTTAAGTTTGAAATTCCTGAATTCGAAAAAAAATTTTAATATCTAATAGCGTACGTAGTAACGTAGGTTAGTAAATTATTAAACATATATCTTTTAAAATTTTGGCTTTACAAAAAGTTATTATTTTTTAAAGAGCAGAATGAACACTTATGTTAAAATAAACCGTTTATGAACGCTAATGAAAAATATTATTCACCTATTCATTATATTGGAGTAGTTACATGTTAGTACGCATTAAAACACAGACGAAAGTACATACATGTTTTTTTTTTTTTTCGGGAACGAAGTTCCTTATGGGACGATGCGGAGGGGTACCCTAACCGGGAAAAAACGTCCGTAACGTAAGATTTTTATTAGAAATGCACATAATGTATGACTTAACTTTGTAATAACGTACAAAAAATAACATTTTTTTATCATTCATTGACCACGATCTCAGAGCGTTCGTTTGCGCAATACACTAACTCTTATGCAAACAACCGTGAATAAAATGTACCACAATAAGTTCGCACTTTACCGAATGACCGTGGCTTGTTGCGAAACCTCCAGTTTTATTTTCTTTATACCTCGAATAGAACTTAAAATTAATATTTTTATAATAAGGAACTTCTTTCCTATCCGGTGCCCCACGACATCACACATCTTTTTTTTTTTTTTATTTTTTTTTTATTGCTTAGATGGGCGGACGAGCTCACAGCCCACCTGGTGTTAAGTGGTTACTGGAGCCCATAGACATCTACAACGTAAATGCGCCACCCGCCTGGAGATATAAGTTCTATAGATATAAGGTCTCAAGTATATTTACAACGGCTGCCCCACCCTTCTAACCGAAACGCATTACTGCTTTACGGCAGAAATAGGCAGAGGGTAGTGGTACCCACCCGTACGAAATCACAAGAGGTCCTACCACCAGTAAAAATATCCTAAAGCTTTTAATAGTGGAAGTCTAAGATGAGCTGGACATGTGTGTAGTTAGAATTGGAGAAAGCGGAATGGCGAAATAGCTGCTAAACGCTAAGCCGGATGGTCGCAGATGTCGTGGCTAGCCGAAACTCAGATGGTCAGAAGGCTTAGGATCTCAAAAGAATTGACGTCAAAAACCGGAAGGAGCCAGGCATAAAACTCTAAAGAGACTTCCTAGCCCAAGCTAAGATCGATCTGAGCTGTAAGGCCTGAGATGATGATGATTGTTGATGAAAAACATTCGGGTGCTTTTTGTCCAAAAAAAAGTTTTATTACACGGACATATATTTATTTGTTTCAACATTAACATGAGTTTCATCACTGGTAGGAGCTACTATTACTACTTTTTACACCCGATGACTTTGTCGTCGGACGAGGATATTAATCAGGCTGCCGCTCAACAAGAGTTATCCCCTGAACTCAATACCATACTTGATTCGGAGTTAACGTTTTCAATGTTTTCAATACGACCCTTGTCTTCAACCCATAACGAGACTGAGCTATTAGCATTTTTTATTTTTTTAGAAACCAATGTGTTCCTTGTAAGTGAATATTCTGTTCAGTGTTTTTTGCTGTGGTAAGAGCCCGGAATAGGAAATCTGACTTACTACTGACAAATATATAAGTTTCAAGCTCGCCGTCGAGCCAAACCGACACTGCTGAATTTAGATAGTCCTATCATCGTCCCGTACTTCAGTCGTTCAATTCAACGAAATTTATCAAGGCGATTATGCGTTTAAGCATTAAAAATGTTTTTTAAGAGTAACAGTACAGAGTGCATTTTAGTGTGGAAAATTTTAATTAAATCATCAATGTATTAAGTTCAAATGTACTAGAGAGTAGAGCAGATGCTCCTAATTCGTCAGGTGGTAAGCAACCAGAACTCATAGTCGCCACAACTTAAATCCTACTGACTATCTTAAAACACGAGGCCAAAGTATTAATTGATTAATTATACGCCGTAAGCATATTGAGTACTTTTACCTCATACAAAGCGAGACCTCATATTACGCGGACCTCATATAACGCGAGACCTCATACAACGCGAGACCTCATACAACGTGGACCTCATACAACGCGAGACCTCATACAACGCGAGACCTCATACAAAGCAGACCTCATACAACGCAAGACCTCACACAACGCGGACCTCATACAACGCGAGACCTCATACAACGCGGACCTCATACAACGTGGACCTCATACAACGTGGGCCCTCATACAACGCGGACCTCATACAACGCGAGACCTCATACAACACGGGATCTCATACTAGGCGGACCTCATACAACGCGATACTTAATACAACGCGGACCTCATACAACGCGAGACCTCATACTACGCGGACCTCATACAACTCGAGACCTCATGCAACTCGGACCTCATACAACGCGGGACCTCATACAACGCGAGACCTCCTATAACGCGAGGCCTACTACAACGCGAGGCGGCCTATTACAACGCGAGGCCTACTACAACATTAAAAATAAAGTCATAAGCGTATGACTTTATTACCTACCCGTGCGGACTCACAACGCGCTCCCCAACTAGTAAGGCGGTCCCCTCTCGATCCCCACCGTTGATGAGGCAGAGGTACTTCAGCTGCACCCCGACACCGATAGTGACGCCTCCGACCACGATATGGGCATCGACAGGTGGCACTCTCCTGGGCCTGCGTAACAGATTACGCTTAGGCCCGGGAGGAGGACACCCCTCAGCACCCAGTCATATCCGATATTCCACAAAAGAGGGCCGAGCACCGACCCCTGTGGAACACCGCGCACGACCGGGAATATCGGGTACGTACTACTCCCCGTCCTGTCACCCTGCCTTGTGCCCACGTCTTGTGAGCTCGCACGTGTAGATACCCAACCCACTTTCGCCGAGAAGCAGTAATGCGTTTCCGTATGAAGGATGGGACTACTATTGCACTATAAAACTGAGACTTAGAACTCATGTCTCAAGGTGGGTGATTTACGTTGTTGATATATGTATATGACGGCGTTAACGATATTTATGTTATATAGCACGTGCAATAGGAGTGACTCACACAAGCCAGATGCGCCGGCCGTGTCGTTCCACTCGCAAACAACAGGTGCAACAGAAGTGACTCATAAATAAGCCAGCTGCGCCGGCCAGTATAAAAAGGCGGTACGTGCCTCGAAATGAACATTCGTTGGACTGCGTTTGCCTGGTGCACTTACTATATCCTTGTTACGTTGTGTGATTCAGTGACTGTTGTACGTACTGGTTAAAGTTGGACAAGTGTTAAAGTGAATTGTTAAGATAACATATTGTTGATTAAATCAGAAATCAAAGGTGACTTCGTTTAACTTGGTGTTCATCAAAATAATGTCTACCCTCAAGCTTATATCAGAAGTGTCGGACTCACCTCCACTGCAGTCTACAAATAATTCGGCCAACAATATGATGTTTGAACAAATGTCATTATTTTCATCTGGGATGGAAGCCATGTTACAAAGAATCACTGAAAGTATGTCAGTTCATCGACCTAGCCAGAGCTCACCAACCAGATTGGTCAATTTTGACCCGGATGAACCGGAGGCTGATGTTGTAAATTGGTGTACGCTGAGCGAAATGATCATCGAACAGAAGAAATTGGATGCTGTAGATTTAATTTTGACTCTCACACATTCGCTTAAGGCTCGAGCTGCTACTTGCCTCACAAAAATACAGCCTGGTAAGATATCCTGGCCTACTATTAAAGTGATGCTGACAAAATTCTCTAATGATGCAAGACCACTTCGACCTGGTTATTAAATTTGAAATGGAAAGCAAAGAGGGACCAGCTGAAGCCGGTATCCGGCTATGGCAACTTATAAAGAAGATTCCCGACGCTAATATGCCAGAAAATAGCCACCGGATTTGCTATATCAATACTGTCGCAGTGTGATGAAAGAATTCGTCGGGAATTGAACTCTGTCGTTATTACCACCAAAAATCATCTATTTCGCACATTACGTGGCTTTACCCTCAAAAGAAAAAACGAAGATCCTGATAAAGAACCAAAACGCTCTCGAAGTTTTTTCCGTGGAAGCTGCCATTTCTGCGGAAAATCTAGGCATCGTGCCGAAGGGTGTTGCGACAGATACTACTCTCAAACTTTTTTCGATATTCCAGCAAAACCTGAACAACCTCCTCATCCGTGGGCGCCCGGCTCTCGCCTGCAAGTCAGCTGTTACGTGTGCGGTGATGCGAGCCATGTAGCTTCTGGGTGTTCCATGCGCTACAAGAAGAAAAACGACACTGCTCCAGGTGCTGTGGCAGGTCCAACCAGAGACGTCAACGTGTGTTTCAGAGCTTCAGTGTGTTTCAGATAAGTGGTTTTGACTTCCCCTTTACGTTCAATTCAGGGTCAGAATGTAGTCTTATAAAACAAAGCCATAGTAATTTATTCAATGGTAAGCGGTTTCATGAACAAGTCACTCTTTGATCTGAAAGTAACTCGGACCAATCATGGCAAGAGCAGTTAGGGGATATTCAACTCGCCCTTAATAGTACACGTTGTCGAGTAACAGGGTTTACTACAATAGAATAGATGTTTACCGTTCAGGGTAGTTCACTTGAAATATCTAAAGTTTCAACAGAGTGATAATCCCTCTAGATTAGATCTTGATTTAGCACGGTCGAAGGCCTGCGAAAACAAAAAAAAAGGGCACAAACCGAAGCTTGGTTTAGTCGAGGCAAAGCTAAAGTCAAACTCTTTTCCGCTGGGAATTTTGTTTCGTAAATTAGACCGAAAATATAAAGGTCCCTTCAACATTACTGCACCCCGAATCCTGATCACGCAGGAGCAAGTCACCGTCGTCACCCTAGACACGTCCTTACGGATCCATCAGATCCAATAACTCTTGCATTAGATACCTTCAGCTCTAACACTAGGAGCAGGCTGAGGAACTTCGGTAACCGTACTCGTCGAACTCGACAAAGAGGTCGACGTGCAACCTAACCCATGCATCAGCCCGCTGAGTTTCTCGACGGATCTTCTCAGTGGGTCGCGATTCCGATCCGGTAGTAGATTTATTTGCGAAGCAATTGCTCTTGAGTTGTTAGGTCTCCTTCGGAGGCGCTCGGGCAGTTGTTAGCAAATCCCACCCCTCTTGGCTGAGCCTTTGCTCGCCCACCCGTCCTGGTGAAGCTGAAAAGGCCTCCGGGCCACCAGTAATCTTTCAATCATTAAAAAAAAAAACATTACTGCAGTTTTGGAAAACGATAGGTATAAGTTGAGACATGCAAATGGTTCTAATAGTGTACAAATTTCCCCATAAAAACTTACGCCAAGTACCTCGAGGCTCGTCGGGCCTACTAGAAATTTCTGAAAATTATAGTGATGATGACGTGACGGCGTACACAGATGGGTTAAGTAATCTTGTTCATGAAACTGATCTTAATGATGACGACTCTATCACTGACAATAGAAGCGACAATAGCGATACTATGTCTGTGGGTAGTGATACAATGTCTGTAAGCTCAGGCACCTCGGGTGCAGGTGTTGGAAATGTAGAAAACGATAGTCGGTCTCGCACTATTTCTGAAGAAATTCCGTATAAATGTTCTGGTTTAAGAAATGTTTCTACAAATGCTACCGTACACGCAAAGTGAAAAAAAAAAGAGAAAAAGAAAGAATTGTTTTGGCTAAAGGGATGTTGATCCGGACTAGCAAAAGAGAAAAAAAAAGTGTGAAGTCATTGAAGGGTCTGTCCGGTCCAATGGCTTGGCTATAGGGATTTTCATCCGGACTAGCCACAACAATTAGCTACAGGGATTGCGATTCGGTCTAGCATTATCCGGTCCAGTTCGAAAAACTGAAGGGATAACAATTCCGCTCTAAGTTAAAAGGGACATACTTACTTACTTTAATGAACTGGCCCAGGTATGTAAGCAGTCTGAAGGCTATTTATAGCCAGTATAGGATTTTCTGAAGAATTATGCGAACCGAACCGTACTAGATTGTTAATATCATAGACCACGTTTTAAGTTGCATCCGATAATGTCAGGATGAACGAACACGTTTGTTGGTCACAGACATACCATAAGAATGCGCGCACGAGGATGAGCGCACGTCAGTATGGCCGTGACGGCGTTAACGATATTTATGTTATATAGCACGTGCAATAGGAGTGACTCACACAAGCCAGGTGCGCCGGCCGTGTCGTTCCACTCGCAAACAACAGGTGCAACAGAAGTGACTCATAAATAAGCCAGTTGCGCCGGCCAGTATAAAAAGGCGGTACGTGCCTCGAAATGAACATTCGTTGGACTGCGTTTGCCTGGTGCACTTACTATATCCTTGTTACGTTGTGTGATTCAGTGACTGTTGTACGTACTGGTTAAAGTTGGACAAGTGTTAAAGTGAATTGTTAAGATAACATATTGTTGATTAAATCAGAAATCAAAGGTGACTTCGTTTAACTTGGTGTTCAACAAAATAATGTCTACCCTCAAGCTTATATATATGAGTTCTCGTAACCAGATTAACATCGTGTGGGCTGTGACCTCCCCCGTTTAAGCAATAAATTAAATTATGATTTTAATGTCATCAGTTGTTTCTCGTACACACTGAATGTTGATTAAGATATTTGGGGTAAACGAGAAAGGGAAGATCTTCCACCGAGTGGGTGAAGTTGTATGCAAGCATATCTTGAAAATTTCGTAGCCGAGATTCAGGCATCTGGCAAATATCTTGTGTTGCAAAATGGCTACCCGCGATAGTAGATTTAAGTATGATAGTAAATTACAGTGTCATCGAATCGATAGACAAATTAAAAAGTATAATAATAATAATAAAACTAAGCAATTCCATTATGGTCCTTTTCTTTACGGCCATCTGATCATAAACAAAAAAAATATGTGTGGTGTCGTCGGGCACCGGATAGGAACGAAGTTTCTTATTATAAAAATATTCATTTTAAGTTCTATTCGAGGTATAAAGAAAATAGTTATTCGGGTATACATTTTTTACTATGATTTTTTTATTCATAAAAAAAAATCGTAAGGGTCAACCACTCCGTAGTGCAATGGAGCAGCCTCGCCCTGGCAGAACTGCCTGTATGATCATGGTATCCCCTACGCCAGGTAAGTATGATTTAGCAAGAGAAATACGAGAACGTGTAACATCTCGTCACCGCGATTCAGGAATTGTTGAATTTACCTGCAGCGACATCTGTTGATAACAAACTAAATAGAAAAATCTTACGTTACGGACGTTTTTTCCCGCTTAGGGTACCCCTTCGCATCGTCGCATAAGGAACTTCGTTCGAAAAACATCTTGATCAATGAAAAAAAAACTTATAAAGTTGATTTTAAGAATGCCTTTTCAGCTAAGTAAAAAGTTGGATCATAGCACTTATTTTGTGGTCCTAAACAATATATTACAAACATTCGCAGACACGCGCGGACCAAATCGCTATAGAAAAGTTTACAACACCATCTCCTTTTCTTATTGTAAAAGTTTAGTAAAAAGTGGATCCGTGAATGAACCAATCAATATTTTATTGTACTCCAGTCCTGTATGGAAGCAACCGAAATGGAATTGGAAACTTCGATTTTACAATTCCCCCGTAGAAAATGTTCAAGTTCATTTTTAAGCGATTATTCGCTTAAAAATGAACTTGAACATTTTCAAATTTGCCGAAATGAATTAATGAATGTTCAGTCGACTGACTGACTGTCGTATATTATTTTGCACTTTATCAAAAATTTTGGTAACATTGTCTAAGATCTTTAAAATATTAGTCTATATAAACGAAATCAAATAAAATTGAAGAGATCACTTCATAACTATTTAAGCAGCAAACTGGAATACATGGAGGTTGAAATAAGCAAATATAAGTTACAATAATTTAGCATATTTAATGCATAGTTTTAATTATAACTAAGACTCGTGGAAAAAAAAGAGTGTCCGTATAAGCCATACCAATAAAGCTAAAGTTATATTAAATATTTTTTCTGACCGTAATGATTGTTAGTACAATTAAAACCAATTAATAAAGTCATTTGATTCAATAAATTTAATCGAACAATTTAATGAATTGTTTAAGCATATCTTTGAAAACTGGTACATCAAAATGTACTTGAAACTTCAATTTCCATCACAATTTCGAACAATAAACATACTAAATAGATAGCTTCATATTACCTTCTTTCAAAAGCCGAAATTCACCCAAATCTTTTAAAAAACAAAGAAATGACATTTTAACATCAATTTAAAAATGCAAAAAACTGAAGCTGCATTCAATGTTTCAGACTCCTTTTTAAAATGGTATCATTATAAATCGCCACGATAAAAAAAAATCCGCCCGCAAGAAATCTGACGACCACGAACACAGCCGAAAAAAATTAATGATCGCGAAAAGAAAAGAAAAAAGAAAATCTTAGAAGGAATGAGCTCCACGTCTTTCCAAGTTATAAAAGGTAAAGAAAGAGCCTGCATTTAGTGAATGCCCATTCAGAGCTGGAAGAAATTCAGCGCTGCAGCGAAACCGCGCATTCCCACCACTTCACGAATTCAACTCCCTTTGACGGAATTCGTGGTTTTTTTCGACAATCAAAACCGAAGTGAGTTTTTTGTCCACTAAGACCGAGTCTTTGTGCTTGTAATGTAGTCTGTAAGATGTGGATTTAAGTTACATTGAAATAAAGAATAGAAACATTGAAACTAAAAACGGCGAGTGCCTACTCGTAAGCGTCGACTTTTATAAACCATTGTATAAGTTAGCTGCACGTTTATATTTCAAGATAAATTTGATACTTTACGCTAAATTTAGGGGTTTTTTTTTAAGCAATCAATCTCTTATGATACGTTGGTAGATTCTGCGAAGCACTGCTCTCGCTAGGGTTCGTGTTAGCAACGTCATCAGGCTTGAGCCCCGTGAGCTCACCTACTAGTTAGGTTACGCTGACATAGCCTCTCAAAGCTATCAGCTTAGGTAGAAAAAACAAAAAAGAAAGAAAAGATCTCTTATTAAGTAAGTTTCTTATTAATAAGTTTTTTAAACGGTGATACAGAGACAATCTCCTTTCCTAGACGACGTTACGTATATAAATATTATAAAAAATAACGAACCTAGGTACAAGAGTTTTAAATCTCATTGAAATATACGAGTCTCCTCCATCCAATTTGAAATGTATTTGTCAAAACCCACACCAGAGAGAGGTAGGTACCCCTTGAAGCAACAAACAGGTCATACTACATACTACTTAGCATGATTTTTTTTATTGCCCATGTTAGCAAACTAGCATACGGCCCACCTGATGGTGAGTGGTTAATGTCGCTCATGGACGTCAGCAATACCAGGGGCAGAGCCAAGCCGCTGCCTAGTATAT